ATATATATATATATATATATATATATATGTATATATATATATCGCGAGCACGGTACTGGTCCGATTGCGATACGGACCCATCAAGCCTCTCATCACCCTGGGTCGGGAAATTGGTGCCGGACTTCTCCGGGAAGAAATTACTTCTCTGCAGTCCAACTGGGAACGCTCTAGCCCGGCTATCTCAGCACTCCAAGGAGATCGGCTCGATCAGCATTCAACGACACTCAGGATTAAATGAAAATTACTCAAGCGGCACCCGAAGCCACACAGTAAAGTTGGAAGGCTTTTACGGATGATAGATGCGAGGAAACGAACTGAATGTGGGAATTGCTTGGTGGCGCAGTAGACATGAAAACTGGTTGTTAAAAATAAAAAATTACGTCTATATATACATATGTACGTGTAGGAAAAAACTAACGCCCTCTGTTCGCGTGCAACGTAAGTCAAATGCCCGAGCAGTTTTTCGAATCCCTGAAAGCTTCTAGAAATCTAAATAAGTCAACTTTTGAAAAGCGCATGGCATGTAAATAGTACTTGGCCATAGCAATCAATTCGGAACAGAATGTAACTGCTTTATAAATTTTTAGTCATCTTCATTACACTGTGCTCAGTTGAACAGTTCGAACTCACCCGGTCTATGATCAGGACTTTGTCATTTTCAGAACACTTGGCGTCACGGATCTTCAGCCAGTGTCTGCTCGTGGATTTTATCCCTGTTTCGACGATCCTCAGTTCAAGTGTCCGTTGAGCCTGAAAGTGGTCCATCCGATGGGTACTATCGCCCGATCCAACGCAATGGAAGTTGCGGACTCACAACCAACGTAAGCCCTGCTACTATCTACTAGTTCCAACAGTGTAGAAAATATATCCCATGGTTATAGTACGGCGATTACTACGGCAACCATTGCGAAGACTATAATGCTATCATTTCTGGTGTGCACAGCTAAAAGTGAAAGCAATAGTCGCAGTTATAATAATAATTGACTAGTAGGGAAAAGAGATTGTGGAAAAAGTAAGGTTATGAGAAGTACAACAGATCTTCCTTTTCATTATTTTGTTCTTCATTTGATAGCACGAAAGTCAGTATCGAAAATTCCCATCTTTCACTTATTATCGGTGATCGAGTGGCTTGAAAAATGTTAGAAATGTTCAACAAACTATGTTATGAGTGAAATACAACCACAACGTTGCTGAGATATTTGCGAAACTCTGGACCGCAGGTGTCTATGGTGGAGAACGAACGCGCTATTGTCCTTTCCGGGGAGTAACGCGTTCACCACCACACCATGCGGGTCCTTCGTTTCGCCTATCTCTCAGCTATTTCTATCGATCTTTTGAAATGAAGAGATCATTCGAACCGTTCGCGTTTGCGTTAAACATTATGTTATGAGTTTTTGCCATTTGGAAAAATTCAAACCATTCCTCCGGATAGAAAAGCTTTTCTTAGTGACCGGCCATCCGTTTTTGCTATCTCAGCGAAAAAGCATTAGTCGATGGATATTCACACGAAAGCAGCGAGCCTCTTGTCAACTGGATAGTCTACAATGATCTTCCCATTGTAAACCTTACCTCCGTACCCAAGAACACCCACCGTCATTGATAGAGCGACGAACCGTTGCTAAAACGCAGGTGTCAATTGCCACAAACACAATAGTTAATAATAGTAGTAATACTAATAATAATAATAATAATAAATAACGACACAAACAATAAAAATAAAAATAACAGGTATAATAACAATAACATATGACTAATAATAGACGCATGGCTATAAATAAACGCAAATAATCATCTGTCCTCTCCTACCTGTCTTTTATTTGATCATTCAATGTTTCGAGCAGACTCTCCTTCCAGCTTGCTGCAAAGGAGGGCCGCTTCTGGGTACTGTTTGGTCTATTAATGTCATAGATGCGCAAGAACTAAAACAATTACTTCCGAATGTGGGTATTCCTTGTACCCTTCGTTATATCCTCAACAGTTTTCCAAGGTTTCCAAGTTTGTGCTCTTTTTTGCTTAGTTTTTAAGCTGTTCTCTTATTAAGAAACGTCTTGTATCCGAAAATATCCAGCTGGATCCAACGACTCCAAGATGAGGTTGTTAAAGCATTTTTCTAGTGTTATTGGTTGAGTTATCGAAGATAGCTTTAAGAAGAAAAGATAGGACCTTCGGTTGAAATTCGGCAAATCCATATGAAATTTTTCAATTTAGGCCTCCAGAGATCTAATTAAAGGTGGATAGCACAGTGGTAGTGATGCCGGTTATCTCGCGTACCGTACGAGTTCGATCCCGCTCCTGGTTCAGCAAGTCTCTCACCTCTTCAGGGTTCAGAAATTGGTACCGGGTTTTCCGAAAGAAAAACCACTCTCTGCAATCCAATTGGGGGCGTTTCAGCCTGGCTATCCCAGGATTTCAGTGAGAATCGACTCGATCAGCACTCTACGACATTCAAGATGAAAGCCGGGATGAATGTATGTGAGAAGTGCTGAGATCCGCACAGTAAATGTGAAGATAAACTGAATGAAATAAAATGAAGAAATCATTCGAACCGAATGCGATTTAACACATAACGCCGAACAAGCGCTAAGAAAAATACATTCGATGCGAACATAATCCTAGATTGCAACCTTAGATCGTGCTTTCTTCGCTCATATTGCCTTTTATTGATTAGAATAAAAGCAGTTATTAAGTACTGTTTTTTCTAGAAGGTTCAGTTTGTTATAACCTAAAATGACAAGACTGGCAATTGGTTATAGTTTCTTGGCTGCCACAAGACGTATTTTTTTCGCTTGTCATAGACTTTGTTGAATTCACCTGCGTATGAAGACAATTTTAATCCACTATTTTTCACATGACGAGGGGCTAAAACGACGTAACAAGCGACTAATATCCATGAAATAATATGTTTGAGGTGCGCAGGAAATAATAATTCTGTGATCTAAAAAAATAAGTCCATGCCCAATTTTCTTTCGGGCTTCTCTTGTTATCCTCTTACAGGTTGCATACCTCGCAGACAGTTATGTTGAATACTTTTTGAAATATCCCACAGCAATTCCTTAATAAGATGGGAAGAAAAGTATCATGTAACCAAAATGGACATTCTAGAAATCCGTGTTATCACGCCTCAGTAGTGTCACGCACAGGCGCTTAATGACGTTATGAAAGATTATCCTAGCGTTGAGTATCGCTATAAGAAAGGCTTTTTGGAACTCAAACATTATCATCCACTATAGGCTGGCAGCTCAACTCGATGGATAAGTGCAAAATGATGTCTTGTTGTATGCCCTGCATTTTATTCGATACTATCCAAGCATGTGAGTCTGGAGTCTAAGAATCTTTGTCGCTTCATTTGCACATTGGAAATTGCTGAAGGAGTACCCTAACTGGAAGTGAGAGCTCAAAGGAAACAGTACGCCACAGGTCTTCTCTTCTCTTCTCTAGCTTCTCAATACTGATGGCCTGTCAAGGTAACGAAACGCGTGGCAGAGGTTCATGCTCCAATATCTGCGTCTCGCAGGGCGTGATGTTCTGGAAATTGAAAAAAAAAACATATACTGCCATTGAAAAGAGTGAGCAGTAAATAATAGGTTAAAATTATAGCATTATTATTATTGATTTACTATTCGCATGGTTATTGCACTATGTTTACCATGACTGTATTGTTTTTACTACTACATATGCTACACCTGCTTGTTTTGTTATTACTAGGACCACTGTTATTGTCAATATTATCCTTCCTTTCAATGCCAACACTAATTCAATGAGAGTAACAGCAACAAAATTACCAATGCTGAGATATTTGCAAAACTCCGGAGCGCAGGTATCTGTGGTGGGAAAGAAACGCTCTATTATTCTTTCCGGGGACTAACGCTTTTACCACCACACCATGTGGGTCGTTCATTTCTCCTGTCTCAGCTATTTAGTTTTTCTATTGGTCAGTACCATCAGCAATCGTCCATCAACGGGATTGACCTGGATACCCTCAGTTTAACTGGGTTCATTGCTGATTTTAGCTTTCCCGTTGACGATTGATTGCCATAGCAGTGCTAGATAGAAAACTAGCTGAGAGAAAAACGAAACGAAGGACACGCGTGGAGTGGTGGTGAAGGCGTTGGTCCTCAGAAAGTGTATTAACGCTTTCCTTCCCCACCACAAATACGTGTGGTCCGGAGTTTTGCGAATATCTCAAGAACATGATGGTGGAATCACACATAATACCCTGTTGCAAAAAGTTATAATAGGCAGTAAATAAAGAAATTAACATTACCAATACTATTATTACCAAAAGTAGAGGATTTTACCATCACCTAGTTCTGTTCATTTCATGTTTTCAATTTATTTAAAAGAGCCAACAGTAGCTTCAGATCCGACCCATCATGGATTGAAACAACATTCGACGTCACTCCACCGCTTGCAACTCACCTTATCGGGTTCGCCGTTACCGACTTTGAGCAGAGAGAAGCGATAACAAAAAGTGCAATAAAGGTGAGTGACGCTCACCGTAACATGTGACAAATGGAAGGCCCAAAAAAACGATAATCAAGTTTCTAGACATAACTAAACTTTAAACTCTATCTTTGGTGGAGTTTATTGGTTAGAATACTATAGTATAATTTTCACTTCGAATTTGAACTGATTTGAAGTGCAACAAAGAGTACTCGTCACCGTTGCACTTAGAGCGCAGTGGAAGGGAGCGCCGTTATGGCACTGGTGGGGTGGGTTTCGTGTGCAGCGCGATGAATGTATTCCATCTTTCGGGTCATAAGTCTCTTGATGAAGGCATTATCTATCATGAGCGCTTTCCCAAGGCAAACTTTTTCCCTTGCCTTATGAGAAGGCCGGTTAACTGCCACTAATTTCTAATTGACTGTAGTATTCAAGGAGTGGAAACATGGCAGATCTATAGCAAAAGGTTCGCCCGATAGACGGTTTTGCTGAATTAGTGCTTCGACTAAAATTTCTATGAAAACTAATTTCCCGACCAATGTGTTGAAAATTGGCAAGAAGATTGATATCCTACAACTTGTAACCCAAGTACAATAGCCGGCACCACCAACAGCACACTCACAGACAAAATCGCGCCATGCGGTGCCGAATTCCGTTTTTTCAATTACTTCGTTGCTTGAAAAAATTGTTGACTTCGACATCTCACAATTTCAAGGAGTTCATTATGCTGTCACAAGAAAATATGTGTCTTATTAGCAAGAATCTACAGATTTTAACGATTTTGGTTCAAACTGACGGAGTTCACTACTATTAATTTGCTTACTCGTAATTGTACGTTGACCTTGTTTTCACGCAGATGCGCATTAAAATTAATGTGTATTGGCAGGATTCTGTAAGCACTGTTATAATAAGTCTTATCGCTTTTTCTAAAAAAAAAATTTGGAAGAAATTTTGTTCTTCAGATCGCTGTTTTAGCCGTTATTTGCGCTGTCACATGTTTCATAGGAAATCCTTATTAGCGCGACAATACTTCTACAGTTCACTGTGTAGTTTTCAAGACACTGCAAATATAACGTTGTGGGTGTTGGTTAATAAAAAAAGTAATATGATAGGTCACGCCAAATATAAGCTTTTTCGTCTATGATAGGAAACAACAAGCAGAAAAATCCCCAATGTAACTCTCAAGTCCGATTTTCTATTAACCTCGGCATTGATTGAATAATTCTTTTTACTTCGGTTCAGCAAATGTGAGGTGCTATTTTATTTCTTTATTTACGTACAAGCTGACGTTTCGGCGGATTTCGTCTTCCTCAGAGCCTGGAAAGGTCATGTTGGCAGCAATCTATTCGGCCAAACACCTCCATAGCCAAACAGAGAAAACGCTAAACCAACATTTGTTTGGTTATGGGGGTGTTTGGCCGAATAGATTGCTGCCAACTTGACCTTTCCAGGCTCTGAGGAAGACGAAATCCGCCGAAACGTCAGCTTGTACGTAAATAAAGAAATAAAATAGCACCTCGTGTTTGCTGAGCAGAAGTAGAAGGAATCCTCAATGTGTTGGTCGCAAGTATCAAAACCATATTGTAAACCTACTTTCTTTTAGCCTCAGTATGAACGTTAACTGTACATTCTTTCATTGACAGGGTGCATGTGGCGCAGTAGTAGGAGGTGCCACTGCGACACACACATGGATCCCAGCGCCCGTGGCCCATCAAGTCTTCCATCCTTCCGGGGTCGGCAAATTGGTACCAGACATGTCTGGGAGGATAGCAGCACTGGCTTGATACAGCGGAAGGTCAGCGCGAGTGATTGTAAAAGCCAGATATGCATTCAATCACCTCCAACGATACTTAATGAAGTCGAATGCATGGCGCATCCCTCAGGGATTGATCAACGTCGAGAGCTTTATCCTTTATTCTTTTATTTACAAGCTAACACTAGTTTTATACGGAACAATTATTCGGTTAATGTTTCGACGTCTTCGTCTTTCTGAGATCCGATGATCCAAGTCGATGGTCCACAGTAGCTCGGCTTCGCGATATCTGAAGAAAACAAAGACGTCAAAACGTTAGCCAAATAAACGTTTGGTAACAAGCTCATGTTGGCTTACCAATAAAAGAAAGTACTTCAAAATCCTTTATTCGTGCCAAAATATATCGTTGCAATGTCATCACATTCCAAAATGCAATCGACGCCTTTCGCCACTACAACTTGAAAGAACATTCTTCACGAAAGTGCATCCTATTTATTGCAAATGTTCCTTATATGATAAACATTAAACACATTGACTACGAGGGTTACTGGCATCCACTAGAATAGACAGCAGGCAGGGAAATAATCACGGAGCACAACACCTTGATCTTAAGTGCAAATGAACGTCAACTTAATTATGCTTGCTTGCACGGATTAGGTTGTATAATAGTGTATAAACTTATTTATGTGTAAATGACGATTCATTCTGAATTTTCTAATCACACCAGAGAGTAGAGTGGGTGCTTGCAATAGGTAAGCCTACAAGCTTATATACTTAATGAGAGCATTGCGTGTTATTCCCATGTACACCCAACCACCTGTGTACTTCTACATTCATTCTAGGTTCGTATCTTCTCCCGTCCTGAGGCAATCAGTTCAACCCTATTTGCGCTTGAAACAGCCGTCAAAGTCTATGATCTTTTAACAGAGTACCTTGGTACACCTTTGGTGAACTCGAAACAAGGTTGGTCAACACTTTTTGTATTACATTTATTTTAGCTAAGCTATCACTCCTACCTATGTCTTTATTTAGTTTATTTTGTTCGCTTTATCCACACTTTTTCTTACATACACATTTATTCATTATCCTGCGATCACCATCTCTCCGGGGTTGGCAAATTGGTACCAGACATGCCTGGGACGATAGCAGCATTGGCTCGAGACATAGGCAGGCTACCGCGAGTCACTGTAAAGGCCAAATATGCATTCATTCGCCTCCAAACGATGTTAATGACGTCGAGTGCATGGCTCATCCTTCAGGGATTAATAAACGCCGTGAACTTTATCCTTCATTTTCTATCCTATGATCCCTATTTTTAATATTTGTTATAGGTGTTGTGTCAAGGCGTTAAATTGGTCGAGGGCAGTTGGCCCTGTGCCCGTGAGGCAATATTGGCCTATGATCCAACTATGCATTTTTTCTTGTTACGAAATAGTTTGAAGGTTTCAATATGAAATTAGATTTAAATACAGTGCACACACGCAATTCCATTAAGAATGTCACAATTCGGCCATTGTACGAACTGGTTGGCGATTGTGGTAGAATTCGAATAATTAGTTGAACAGTCGTTGCTCTATTTGGATTGCAATACTCGATTGCTTCGATGGATTGCAACGTAGAGTTGTATCGAGGTGTTACGTTTGTTGAGGCGATCTGGCACTGTGCCCGTGAGGCAATACTGGCCTATGATTCGCCTATTTATACTAAGATGTCAGCTAATTGAGAGTAATAGAATAAAGCGTAAGTGTTACCTCTTCTAGAGTTGCCGTATTATATAGGAAACTCATGAAGTCGAACACAACCGTCGAATTGCTGCGAAAGGTTTGAAAATGTAGCTGTTGTATCAACCACGACGTCGGTTCCAGGAGCTAACACTGAAGATTCAAGCATCGTTCGAGCGAACTATGATGCAGTGACACACTCCTTTGCTCTTTTTGGTCACTGCCTGCTGTTGCTCTTCATCGCTACATATGTCTTCGTTTTGGTTTTTTGGTAGCATGTACCTCAAACTGAGGCTATTAAAACTTTATGCAGTAAATAAACTAATACAAATAAGAGACAATATGGGACCCTCTATATTAAACGCAGGTATGGGAGGCGTAGAGGATATTCGCCATTTGTGGAGATTTCTATAGCAAAATCCTTCCATCATAATTAGTTGTTTTGCTCATTTACAGATTTCTTCGCTTTTCCTGAACTGGGAGACCGTTCAGTGAGCGGTGAAGGGATTTTGATTTTTCGAGAAGACAGCCTTCTGTTTGACCCATCAACGGACTCTGCAGAGGAAAAAGTGAAGATAACGATGGCCCTATGCTATGAAATCACCCATCAGGTGATGCATGTTTTTCGAAATAATGAAGAAAACTTTTTTCAACTTCAGATAAGCACAAAGGGAATCGGGGTAGAGCATCTATTATGTGAAATTCTTCCCATTGTTTCAGTGGTTTGGAGGTCTCGTTAGCGTTGTTGATTGGCCTGATTTATGGTTGGGTGAGGCATTTTCTAGGTATATGGAATATCTGATTGCGGGAAAAATCTTCGTCGGAGCAATTGACACAGTGGGATTTTCTTTTCATCTATTTCTGCTTTTCTGCTTTTCTTTGTTCTCTTTTTGAGATAGTCTGCATACGAAAGTCGTAAACCAAAGATGTAGAAATAAAATAGAAAAAAAGAGAACTTTCTCTTGAAATAGAGTGATATCAAAAAGCCCTCCGTTTCAATATGGGTTTAGATGAGTTACCAATTGGTAGAGTCAGTGGAGACAGCGTTGTTGGACGATGACCGCTCTTTGTCTTATCCTCTAACTTTCAAACCGGAATTTCCAACTGAAGTTTACGAATTCAACGAGCAGGCCACACACGACAAGGTAGGTCTTCTAAAAAATGCACTAGAAGACGTTGGCGAGCCAAGAAGATTCCTAATTCGATATTTCAATCATAAATGGTATTCTTCTCAGCGTCAGTTTCTCATAGTCATTTCCTCAAAAACAAAGCATTTAATGTAATATGTCTACTACAGAGAGAATAAGATATATGTATCCTTGCGACAGGGGGCTGATAGCACAGTGGCAGTGATGTTTGTCATCATGATCATGGTGTTAGTTCTGCTCCGCTCCGGGCCAACTAAACCTCTCATCCCTCCAGGGTCAGGAAATTGGTACCCGGCCTTGTCTGGGAAAAAATCACTCTCTGCAATCCAAGGCTCCAGGGAGAATGGTCGACCGGCATTCTACGGCATTCAAGATGAAATGGAAATGCTCAAGCAACCACAGAAGGCACACATAATAGTTGGGAGATCTTCGTGGGCAATGGAAGCGAGGAAATGAATCGAATGTGAGAAGTGCTGGGATCCGCATAAGACGTAGACACGTAGACGTGGAGACGGATCAAATAAAATAAAAAATTCCTGGCAACAAATACTACATCACTGTTCAATCAGATGCCATCTTGAATACATTCGGTTCAGCAAATCCTGAATCAGTGTGATCTCCTCAAAAAAATTGAACTTTTTCGTCGCATAGTTTTACGTCATCATTTGTTACTCTTCTAGGGAGCGTCACTGTTACGCATGATAAGCGCGATCGTTGGAAGAGATGTGTTTCAGAAAGGGACACAGGTCAGTCTAATTTACCCCTACTCTTACTTCATCAGTTAAATAAGAACTTTGCAGTTAAACTCATACACGTGATTACAATAAATTTTTTTGTTTAAATGGGTGGTCCGTAGATTGTTTTAGAACATACGGTTTTACTATCCTACCCATGTAAAACCTCCAGACGGTTTACCGCCTCATATTGGTTGGGAGGTGCTCCTGGATGACGTGCTGCGATGCAGAGCGGTGGGATTCATCCCTCCAGCAGGGTCTTCTAAGCTGGCAGGGAGTCCTACGTTTCCATGAAGAAGCCTAACTGAGAGTAAAGCAATATAAGATTCCACCACCTTCCTGGTATCAAACTAGTCAGATGGTGGCAAATCTTCCTCTGATCCACAAGGGCGGCGGCTACCTGTGGTGATGACGACCTGGGGCAGACTTTGACGAGGCTGTCATCGGGGTCTAAGGAACCACATTGGCTAAATCAACAAGTCTCCGGAGAATGGAAATTATGTTAGGGCTCACACAACCAGTGACTGCGGTCCGTCCAAGTATCCAAGTATCCATGTAAAAAACATATGGTTGATTACATATGGTACCTCGAATTTAGGTAGAATTTTACTATATCTCTAATTCTTCGGTTCCAAAGTGGGCGAACGACATCGCTACTTATTTCTTAAATAATCCCATGAAGGCAATAACCAACTCTTCAGCACTATGTGAAGTCTCACGCAAATAGAGAAGCGAACTACACAGACTTTTGGGAGTCGCTGAACAGCGTCCTACCTAGAGACGTAAGTCTAATGCGTGAAGTGCTTTGTTTTTTAACGATCACATCAAGTATGCTTTCAGCTTAAATCTTGGAATGGCGAAAACTTCAACGTAGCTGACTTCGCTAACAAATGGGTTGTCCAGGTGAACTTTACTCAATAAAATTTTGCAGTTTGATCTTTCTTTTAGCAGTTTCTTATTAAACTGCATAGAGCGTTTCATTGCAGGGTGTTTTCACATTTTTCCACAATAAACTTCAGAATGCAAGCCAGAAAACTACACAGATCACAGATTATTCTAGCAGTGCCTTTTTTTAAAATTTTTTTTATTGAAACAGGTGCTTTTTTGTAGTAACGGTAAAAATACCTCTCCGGAAGTTCAGCATTTAAGCTATGATTTTTTCGTTAATTTGTAACCTGTTGTGGATCATATAATGATACAAAATAGCTCTTTAATTGCAAAATCGCCGTCTCAGGTTCGGGCTCCTTTCCTATACCAATTGTACCAGTGCGCTGACTAAGGAATGGCAATGAGAATCACAAACTTGTTAATCTTCAGCCATTCAGTATTTTTCTCTGTGTATCCGCATAAGAAATCATTTCCAGATGGGATATCCAGTTGTGGATGTTCATCGCCTGAATTCTCATACGATAGAATTAACACAGAGGAGATTCAAGGTTAGTCCTTCTGTGAAAAATATTAGTAAGATGAGACATAGGAATATGGCCACAAGCTTTCGCGAACTTAGATGAAAAGGAATTTCGACTGATACATGTCGTAGTTACAGCTCAACAATGTTATTCCTGAAAAAGAGAAGTTCCGAAACGCTCTCTACTGGTACAAGTGGGAGGTTCCAATCTTCTATGAAATCAATGGAACAAAGCAGCAAATGATCTGGCTTCACCAAGGTGGTGTATCCTTTTAATAATTGCAATAATTAAAGTTAATTTTCCCAAAATCAGCCGTGCGTTATCAATTTTTCTTTCACTTCTTTACAAATTTACTTAGAACGCATCCCTTTGTTCCGAGCAAATGATCAAAATTTTAGTGCACAAAAACTGCTTTGTCTACATAGGCCTTAAATCTACATAAGAAATTGAAAAGCGGCCCGTGTGGCGCAGTCGTCGGAGGCGCCCTGCAACACACGTGGAATCGATCCCCGCGCCCATGGCCCACCAAGCCTTCCATCCCTCCGGCGTTGGTACCAAACTTGTCTGGGAGGAGAGCAGCACTGACTCGATACATCGATAGGCATTCATCAATGCTGATAGCTTTACCCTTTACATTTTATACGCTTTGAATTACCCCCATCTATAGTCGGATAGCCAACCTTTTTTTCCTCTTTTTGTTTGAGTTTTTTTCCTCTAAAGATATTTTTTCAGCTGCTCATCTGCCTGTCAATCTTTCGGACTCTCTTCTCATCAATTCTGAGTCTTTCGGATTTTATCGAGTGAACTACGATCAACAAGGATGGATCGCCATAGCTGATCAACTGACAAATGATCATACGGTGGTTTCTCTTATAAATAAACACGGTTCCTTGATCAGTAGATACAGTAGATTGTGAATTGAGAATTTCCAGGCTCTGAAAAATTTGAAATCTAACGTAACGCTAGCTATCGTGAAATAAGTATTCCGTTAGCAATCTTGTGTCTGCTTGCCAAGAATAATTAATGTGTTTTCAAAGCTGAAAATGGATTAGTTCAGCGATACTCCGCAACAGCTCGTATTAGACTACTCTCCGATGCATTCATTTTGGCTGAAGCAGGGGAGCTTCCATATGAAGTAAGCAACATGCTTTCAGCACTTTATGCCTTTTTTTACTTTGCAGTTCAAACTTATTATCCAATGTTTCTTTGAGCTTCAGATTGTGTTCAAGCTGATTTCTTACCTACCAAAGGAGACTGATTCTTTGCCTTGGTTGTGTGCTTTAAATGGTTTAAAACGCATTTACGAACTAGTGTCGAGAACTGAACTCGAAGAGAACATGAAGGTAAAAACGTTTTTGATCCCCTCCATAGCTTCTTGTTGCTAAGACAAAACTGTAAATTCTCTCTTCTATAGTCTGCCGCTAGCTGCAATGCAGCTATTGCTTGAATCACCAAAATAACTGGCTGTGAAGTTACAATAATAGCAGTAAATAACAGAAGTGATTCCAAATATTTCTTAGCTTAGTAGAAATTAGATTTGCGTACAAACTATACTATTAATACATTTTGAGGCATTTCACGCTGTGATTTAGGTGTAAGGAATAACTTTTTTCTCGCATGTCGCCTTTATTACCTGTAGTCCTGTTGATCATCGAGTGACTCGAGCGAGTGCTAATAAATCTCCTGTTTTTCCCTGTGGCGTGCAAGAGTAATCCAGTGGGTTATGCTCGCTCTAGAGAATCGTCGAACATCATACCTTTCTTCTAGACTTCTCAAGAAGAACTCTGACCTCTCGTATATAGGATGGAAAATGAAGAATGGAATGAAGAGTTGGTGCAAAATATCGTTTTTGTCCTACTATGAATGCATTAACTTCTTATGGACTAGTTTTACAATTTACCTCAAGTTTCTAACGGAAATCTTTTCAGGATGTCAAATATGGTTCAAATAAGATAAATAATAGAGAAAAATATTTTAGAGATTTATTTTGGAGAAAGTGGAACCATTATTCAACGTTGTGGACGTCGATAACCTGAATTTCATGGACGAGAGGCAGTTTCTCGAGAGGTTTCTTGACTGGTCCATCAATCTTCTCCTGCAAAATAAACATTCTTAAGCGAAAAGGAGATCCATAAGTTTAGAAAGCATAAAGGCTAGACATAAATGAAATATTGGTTTTCGTGAGCCTTTGTTAATGCTATTTTGATATTCAGTAGAACTAAAAAAGAAATTGTGAAGATGTACTGCCAACTTTCGCCTCAGTCTTGCACAAAACCGCTTGTCACCCAATTCAAAATGAATCTAATGGCTAGTTGTGAGCGCTCGAAAATCGCTAGTGAATGTTCAAAGTAAGTATTACATCTCCAAACTCTTTGCCTGCTTATATTTGCCGAATTACTGGCAATTATTCGAGAGTTCCGTTATCTATCCGATCTTTGGTGTACTGCACCGGTGTAGCCGAAATTGAACCGGAAGGACTTGAACAAATCCGTGAATTCTACGTGCGAGAAGTGAATGAAGCAGAGAGAAGGCGGCTTGCAGCAGCACTCTCATGCAGCAAGGATCCTGGACAATTAAGGAAGTATGCATATTCATTTGGCTTTACACATATTCCGAAACTTTCTGTTTTTTTTTGACGACTATAGGAGGCATACGTCGAGTTGAAAAATCAAAGTTGGCAAGTTGAAACAATGATAAATCACAGAGCGTTACTCTATGTCAGCTAGTGCGCAATTCGCACTCGTGATGAGATTATCACATAGGCAAATTTACTAAGGCTATTGATGACTACGTGGGTTAGACAATGAGTTTGAAAGCATCTTATATTTGAGAATAGTTCGTGGACAAGTAAGAGTTTCATCCTTCCCAAATAACTCAATTGCCAACCAGCTGAGCCGAGAGGTAGGATTCCGTTCCTCTGTGATCCCGGCTGGAATGGTGGAAGTGTACGAGCCATAGTAGATTTCACCATGCTCATGGCTGTTAATCATTGATCATTGATTCAATGTGGGAGCAACTTTGTATTTCCAGGGTCTTCGAAAATTCTCACCCATTCCTATCATCAGTTAAGAGACTGCCACATAAAAGCGAATTGGTAACACTATCTCCAAAAAGTTTCAATATTTTATGCGTCTGGTAAGAAAGGGAGTGAGAATGTGGGAAATGGTTTGCTAGTGCAGAACGCCTTTTTGGTTGCACTCTGTTGAAATTGTAAAACAAACTTCTGTGAGCTGTGAAATAATTACTAATCCAGTGACCGTTTCAATGTTTGGAAGACAATTGTACAGCGGACGTTTTAAAACTTTACTCTAACGCAGGTTGTTGCACGGATCTATACACTCAGAAAGAAGCTTAATCAAGAAGTCAGATGTGTCTTACCTAATGGAAAATATGAACAGTCATGCAGTTGGATCGGAAATCGTTAGCAATTTTGTTCTGGACAACTGGAAATACCTCGTGGAAAGGTTTCTTCTAAATCTATTCCTATTCTTTGCACTTTCTACTAAAGCACTGAATTGCAGATTCTCTGGAGATTTTGTGACATTTTCAAATATGTTAAAGAACGCTATTCACTTGGGAAACGAGCGTGAGATAAAAGAGGTCAATCAAGATCAGTTCTTTAAGGAAAGAGATTTAAATGTATTGAAAATATCGATTCAACAACCACCTGTATCACCTAAGACGCCTTTATTCAACGAGTGACTCGAACGTGCACTTGTCGCAGTTTTACTACCGTATCTCTTACTCTGAATATGCAGCTTGCCACTATAAGATCTGTGAAAAATCTATTCGGTATCCCTATACTAGTTTACCACGTCTAAGAGCCTGAGGCTAGTTCTTGGACTTTGTAGAATGGAGACCGCGCTGGGTCAAACCACATTGTCAATAACGGGGGGCTTTTCCTGCATTAACGAATACTTGATATCCAACAACTAGAGAAATTTCGTAGATTACACGACAGGAATAAATACCACTAAGAAGAATAGATACTCAGTATAAGGAACATATCATAAGATGAAAGGCAAAGAACATTCACGGAGGATGTCCTCTGTAAATGTATTTATTCCAATACAGTGTTTTGATCAGCTTTCACTTGTCAAATGGTATTTTCTGCCAAAAGAAAACCTGCGGTCGGCCAAGACAGCCTGCGTAATTCACTAGCTTGAGCACCTGACAGTATAAGCGTGATGCATTCAAAAATACGGGCAATTTTCTAGATCGTCGTGAAATTCTTTACGAAAATTGAGTTATTATAGAAGTAGGAAGAAATCGCGCCGTTCATGAGAAAAAACCTTTTGTTTCAGTTTGAAAGATTCTTGGAAGATCACGAAGCTTCAACGTACGGATTGGAAGTGCTGAAGCACCATCTCGAATCTGCAATGAGTCGAGTGCACTGGCTGAAATCAAATGCGGACACCATTAAGAAGCTTTTAAATTCTAGTCTCTCAGATGAAAATACTTTAGGCCTTTCGTCGCATGCTTAGTAAAATTTAATTCGTTTCAATAGTAAACAATATGCTATACCTCTCGTAAATTTATATCAATCTATATTCCGCCTGTTGTTTCAGTAGACGAGATCACATCCCTCTTTGTGCACCATATGGAGTTGTATTTCTAGTTGAATATTGTTAGTTCGCAGTCCCCTCTAACCTGTGACCTTTTACCTGCAAGTTCATTAGCCATGGAGTAACTCGAAAGGGCAGCGGTCAGTTTCAGTACTCATCCGTATTAATATCAGACCACAACCGATTAGTAGGCATTCATATGTCGAATATATATATATATATATATATATATATATATCGGGGCAGACAATGGCAAGGGTAATCTTGGGATCTCAGGGAACCACAACGGCTCAACCATCAAGCCTCCAAAAAAGAATCGGCGATTGAGTTGCGGTACGCACTAGTAAAGACGGTCTGTACAAACACCCAAGTATATATATTATATATATGCATAAACATATACAAAAAACAAAATATATATATGTATATATATATATATATATACAAAAAGAAAATGATATATGTATATATTCCTAAAGTGCTTTGGTAATGGAAAATAATCGGCATATGACTAAAAATCGTTCTACTTCTTCCTAGTCAATAAGATAGGAAAGATTTTTGCATTTTTACTTTTTACTTTCTGCCTACTATTTTTGTTTCGAAACAGGGTATGATGTAGAATATAAACACTGTGATACTGAGACATTTGCAAACTTGGACCGCGCCCTGATCTCGCGTCGAAGTTTTACAAATATCTCAACATCATAATGGTTTCATGCACATTTTTGGGCTTTTATTCACATGTCACCATGCGTAATCAACTACTTGAAAGTCTGATCCATGGAGCCCAATCGCTCCGTGAATTGATCAACTCCTTATCACTTCTCTTTAACCAGGGAGGTGAGGTTCTCGAGCCCCTCATAGCACATTCAACATTGACTGCAACGGTTTTTTGCCTAGTTCTATATTGCTTAGCTCTTTAAAGTTTACCCCAAAAAAGAAGGAAAATGGAATTGAAGTGGAAGAGAAAAACCTGATTCTAACACAAATCATTAGAGTTAAAAAGAAGACGATGCCGTTGAAACGTCAGGCGCCATAATGTTTTGTAGAGAAAAAAAAGATTCTCTACGTAGGCATAGAATAAGTACTGCCATGAAAGTGTCAATTTCCTTAGTACTTAACACAAGTGGAATGAGATGAACCCGTACCTGAAATCATTCGTCATCAATATGGCGATGAGCCAAGGACGGGTGCGTTGGAGGAGAGTCGGTCCAGAACATCAATTTTGGAGCACACGACAGCACAGTCACCATAATGGGCAGTGTTAAAGCTCAGCATCAGTTTCGTATGGATGCACTGTCACAGTTGTGTTTTCACTTATAAATCTGAACGATCCTCTTGATTTGGCCCGAAACCTGCATGCATCTCAGCAGAGGTGGTGTATTTGTGCGCTGTGTCGGATAATATGTGATTACAGCGACAGCGACGATGCCGCCGATGAAGTTGCAGAGCAATATTCAAGTCTGCTGAGTCAAAGGCTCTTGAAATTTCTAACAGTGCAGTAACTTCGTTTATGCTGAAGGATCTTAAGTTAAATAGTGATAAAGCTTCCAAAGATGCATGCGTTAGTAGGAATTTTTTTCCTCAGTACAATAAACAATTTCGGCAAATTCTTTTTGCGAAAGCGAGCGGGATATGTAGTGTTTTAGGGCACCCGTTAGGAGGTCACTGGAAACAGTGGGACAGATGCGAACCTTCTGCCTTGACAACCCAGCAATTCATGAAGGATACTCTAACACATCAGAACTCTCCATTATGTGCATAGGTGGAAAACGTCGTCCGTAATAAATTTTAATGCTCACACGCCGCAGTCACATTTTAATTTCAATATTTCTACAAAAAAGCGAAACTTTCAAAGAATAGCTTTCATCATGCCTATATGCTATTTTCCAAAATCCGTTTATGGTTGAAGAACCATATTAAACAAGTAAGAAAAGCCAAATCTTAGAACTAAAAATGCATACTTCATATTACCACTTGAGATTTAACTATACGTTAATGCACTGCTCTTCTCCCTAAAGCCCAACACCCAAACATAGTGCATTTAATTTAGCAGCGATTGCCATTTGAACACTTCAAAAGCAGGAAATTAAGCTCATGATGATCACGAATCTGCTTTTAAAATATTTCTTGAAAAATAAAAACTCTTGAAATAAAATTAAATTTCGACGATTTGCCGAAAACGGTTCCTTCAATTTGTGTTTGCTAACTTGTGAAACGTGCACGTCACATTTCCACTGCAGAGCTCGTTCTGTTGTTTTACATGTTCAACATATGGCGTGTGTAGCGCAGTGGCTAGAAGTGTCCTGCAATACGCATATGATCATTCCTACGCCCCAGGCAGGCTCACTAAACCTTCCATTTCTCCAGGATCGGCAAATTGATAGCGGACTTGTCTGGGGATAGCAGTACTGACACGATACGGCGGAACGCTACTGCGAGTCATTATATAGGCTATATATGCATTCAGTTACCTCTAATGATGATTGATGAATGCATGGCGCATCCCTCAGGGAATCAACGCTGTGAGCAATATCCTTTATTCGTTTTATAATAAAAAGAGCCTCGGAATTCTGCGCACGAAGTCCTTTATAGCATCTTATTGATGGATAAAAACATAGTCGAGTAGGTATTAGAGTGGATGTGAGCATTCAGTTAATGATGAGAATCAAGCAGAAGAATTTAAAAAAAACTGGTTAATGGCCGAAAAGTTAGAGCATAAAAGTAAACACAACGCGATCGTTTCTCTAGCTTCTATCTAAAGGATCCAGAAAAAAGAGATGCTAGGCTACATTTGGGTTGTGCAAGTCAATGGCCCGGAAACATCGAAGTTTTCGCAGATTTCAAGCTTCCAGAATAAGCATCGAATAAAACTGTGCAAATGGATACAACAACAGGAAAGCTGAGATATGGGAAAAATGCTCCACCATGGAAAAAGAACAGTCAGTGAACAAAGGTTATGACATTGTGCGGAAGAATATTTATCTACTTCATTTGAAAATACGAAATTCTCAGCAAACCTTATCAACCCAACGATTATAGCTAAACAATTGTAAATGATGGAGTTTCTGTAGATAGGTGTAGCGATAGAACAAGTACAATAAGAAACTCGTTCAAGATACTTTTTTGAGAATCTATTTTTGAGAAGACGATTTGCTAACCACGAAACTATGGTAATTACGAAAGGGATTTAAATGTTACCACGATTCTTCAGTAGACGTATTTTCTTTAGAGGTGTAAAAGAAGACGTAGAGCTTCGGCTTAGAATCCGAAATCACATGAATATAACTGCGATGAACTTGTAACACCTGCAACGAAGTGTTGATCTCCTGACAGTCACGCATTTCCCGTATTGAATTCTCGGCATTCGAACAAATTCGACCGAAACTCCAGCTGAGTGAGTGGCGCTGCACCAAGGCGGCCTGCAATCAGCGACAACTGTAGTAATAAAATAATTAACAATTAGATGTCTAATTTATGTAAACTGACGAAAATGACTAAGGCGTACTAGAAGCAAATCTGGATGGTTTTGTTGACTTATTCACACTTAAATGACGAAAATTTCAGTCCTACAGACTATGTGGTACCAATAGCGTCCGAACTATTCGACTTTTCTGCTTTAACGTTAGAGATCAGGAGACATCTCTTTCTGATGTTAGGCTTTCCTAAAGCGAAAAGCAACGCATAAAGCTCAACAGACGAAAAAAACTTAAAACCTCAATCATATGGCGGATTCCATGTATAGTGAATGATGTTTCGACTTGATGTAGTAAGAGTCTTCGTGGTAGCCCAGTGGAACACCACTCATGAAGTATCCGATCGGTAAGTAACGGAAAGCTTAAAAACTCGATTTTCTAGAACATTTGAAAAGGACGAAAGCATGTCACAGCTGGAGCAAATTTATGTTAAGGCATTCATGCCTCTATTGGCGATATTACCGTCAACGTGTTAGTTAAAATTACGGATGTGTGACTGTGCAAATGCGAAAAAAGTCGATCTCATAGTTCTTCATTGTTGGATAACTAACAGAGCTCTAGGTTACGCACTGAATCCTCACATTTCTTCTTGGGTCCCTGTTTTTTTTCTTTCTGCTCCTGTTTCTTGGATTTTTTTGGGTGGAAGAGTTCCGTGAATATTGAGGACCACACCATTTTATTTATTCGTCAAGGTCTATAGTGGGCAGAACTGCAATATTTCCCACCATTCAAACGATAAACGAACACAAGCACTTTCACCTTTCATTTCTGTTAGTCGGAGACGATTGAATGCTACTATGAAAAGTTTTCAAAAAACCTGTACACCTTTGACGGGAGCCGTCAATCGATATCGCCTCAAACACAGAAATCTGCGGATTCTGAGCGAACAACTCATCGGAGAGGATCTAAAAATATTCCATAGCAAATTTTCGGACTCTTGTATCTAGGAAACTACTATGAAACTTACCATGGTTCCAGCATCTTGGGTGACCCCTATGGAAATTTTGGCCCCAATAGGTTAGAATCGAGCGAATGAATTAATTTTTTCTTCGGTAGCTGCAAGTCGTTCACACACATTACTCGTTCAATTAAACCGACCCACAATTTTTCATGTCTGGCATGTTATAGGTGAATTTAACTTGGAACAAAATACAAATTTGTCTTCCTAATTTTTGTCAGTGATAAAGGGTGATCTTATACGTTCTCGATACAAACCAACAGATTTTATCTCAACTCTTGTTTCCATGCTCTTTATGCTTGCTGAAAATGTGACCATGAAGTCACGTGAAGTCATGTATGCTAGCACTTCAAGCATGAAAAAAGCTTCCTCAGAACCATAAAGGCTCGCGACTGCCTGCAATGAAAAGAAGGGAACGCTCTAGTAGCTATTCTTGGAACATGGGGCAATAAACGAACTCCATTCAACGACATTCACGTATAGGACGATATTCTCATGTCACAAACCAAGCCACACGCAAATCTGAAGGTCTCTGTGGATGAGAGTGTACGGCAAATAACTAGATTAAGGATGTTCTGGGACCCGACAATACTCACAATGGGTATATGCAAACAAGTAAATAGAATAGATATTTTTAGTTAAGTTTTTCACTACCTGTGCGTCACTGAATTTGCATCTGTGAATACGAAGCGACTGTAAGAAAATACTTCGCAAGACCCTGTGCAAAACAGATGGACTGAAAAAAGCTTTATTCAGATTTCACAGTCATTACAGCCAGTTGCTTTTGCAATCGTAAAGTCGTATTTATGACTGAAAATTAATCCGTTGTCAGCGTGTTCTCATAAACACGAAACCAAATCAGTTTTGAGAACGGCAGTGTTTATGTAGAGGATTTTTTTTCACACCTCAACAAAACTCTAAAGCGATTTGTCGAACGAAATAGGAAATGATAATGAATGGTTTTACTAATCCTATAGAAAGCTGAAGTCTTTTCACCTGCAGTCGATCTTTGCGTCGTCGATTTGCAGAGCAGTAACGACCCTCGACGTGGAGAGCCAGCGGAGCAGCGAGTCGGTGACGGCTCCTCTCACTTCCACCAAATCCACCACACTGCCGCTGAGGAATGCTGAGTATCGAGTCGTCTGAACTTGAGGAAAGAGGGTTCATAATGTAAACTCTTATTATCTATGTTTCTCAGAAAGCCATATGAAAATGCCATCTTTTTCCAGGAATAACGACATTCAATTATAACTAACATCAATTGTTTCGCTGATCAATCGCGTTTCAGTTACCGCCTTTAGCTTCATATAGCCGTCCATTCTGTGAAGAACTACAATATGTTTAATACACTCCTGAGATGCTTGTGAACTTTGAGAACATGAGGACACGCCTATCTAAAAATATCACCCATAATCCAGGAACCAAATATTTGTTCTGAAGATACTGCTCCTCAATAATTCCCTTTTAGTGAAGAACAAAAAAGAAATCACAGATATAAAAAATGACGGGGAGAGCCGTTTCACTTACCGACCCATAGTCTACAGTACTATATTCGTGATTCTCGGAGTACTCGTGCAGGACAGTCTCATTTTTGGAACGACCACGTGGACGGAGAGTTTTTCGTGAAAATAGTGAGTGATATAGGGAAGTCAACTTCATATCAGAATTTCACCAGCCTCTTCATCCACTGAAATACCACCACTATACAGGAGAGAATGTGATTGTGGTGTAGTTCACCATTATACCTTTATTAACTAAAATATTAAATACTATCAGCAGCACACCTGATGTATAGCGGAATATGAGGTTGACCTGTTATCAAGTGTAAAGTGTAGGAATGGGTATGTTGGTTTACCCATCGGTGGACCATGGGAAATGGATGTTCTCTCAAAATGATTGGACATATCTCCCAGCACTAAGCGGTCATAATGAGTGTTTGAACCATGTCGCATTACCTGTCCTTAGGTATTACCAGTAATTGGATATCACGACATATTGAACAGATAGCTCTTGTCTAGATGGTCCTGCTAGTTGAAATGTAGTGGACTCTTTGAAAAAGCCAATAAACTTATGTTAATGTGGAATCCAATACGAGAAATTGAAGTTTGTGTATTTGTTCGGGATTTAATGATATGTCAAGAATTCTGTCATACTCAAATGATTTCCACTTTAGTGCACGTACACATCCTATGTGTGAAGTTCTCGACTCTAGCCAGCGAAGACATCAGTCGTTCCGAGAAAATTCTCAGCACGAAGTCACTGTTTACACATGATGTGTGTGGGAACGATGGCTTCCAAGAAAATGACAGCTCCGAATTCTTGGCCACCACTTGTACTCAAGAGCTTAGGCAACAATGTTGATACTTAGGATTGATCCAAAAGCACACATAAGTTTGCATGGAGGCAACGATTCTTACAATGGTTCTGGATTTCCAACGAGAAATCCTTCATCATTAAAGAATCCGAATCGATTCTGAATGTTTTTGTCTTGTGCTAATGTTCAACGGTTGCAGTTAATTGTTTGTTCTTTACTTGAAACGGGCTTGTGAGGCGTCGAATGTGTTAGGCTATAAACTTCTTGATAATATTCACTCAGCCTTTTATTTACTGCCTGTTATTCCACCTTGGCAAGGTACTATGTAAAATTCAACCACGATGATGCTGAGATATTTGCAAAACTCGGACCTCAATCCTATACTTAGGATTCTCGGCTATTCCTTCCGGGGTTTTGCAAATATGAACTTCTTCATAACTGAATGCCCTATTTTCGCAAACGATTATTGGGTACCAAGCACGCTTTAGATTTATTAGTATATTTGCAAACTGACAAAATTTTCTCTGAGTTTTCCTGGAAGTTTCCCGCTTTGCAATAGAATTTGCCACAGCAAAACTCTAACAATCAAGTGGCAGCTTCCCATAATGCTATGCCATCGAGCTGTTTAACTGCATATGAAATAATATTAGCACTGATAGCCTATTTTAGAAAATTCGCTACGACGTTTGTTCTTTAGCAACAACTGGTCATTGTTTAATAACTCCAGTGGCTGAAAATTCAGCGGATTGGTAGAAGCTTCCACTCACCCTGATAAAGGTCTACGGTATGCCCTTAAAATATGATGGCACTCGCATTCCAATTTCGTTTCAAATTTCAAAATTTTCAAAAATTCAAAACATTCCAGAATCTAAAAACGTCTAAAAGGACACCGACAACTGTAGACATTAAGGATGCATTCAAAGGCAGCGCCGCGTGAAGCTGAACGAGATCCCACTTGTTCCACAGCTTCGCTTTCACGAAATACCTCCTCGAAAGCAAGAGACAGAGCGAAAAAGGCAAAGAGAAGAAGTTTCCCAGAAAACCGAAATCTCATTGTGGTAGGACGAGAACACTTTTATCTTATCGGTGAAATTCCACAAGTTCCAACTGCCTTTATTTCAATTAAAGCTGCATTTGTTTGGAGACGAAAAATCAAATAAATTCCAGCCTCATATTAGCTCATGAGTCACACCGCGCAGAATGTGCCGAACAGAATTCGTACTGGAAACAGACTGAGATTTGGACTATCGATGATGTAGCAGCTTTAATTTCTTGTGAAATACCTACTCTCTACAACAAGATAATTTTGCTATTGTCTATCTTCTGTCAACAATGTTAGCAAAGAATGTCAGAAAAACACAATGATAACATCTCTATTTATTTTTATAGAAGACATGACATTGATTATGACAAACGGCAAGACCGCTAAGCGCTTCTCATGCTACGCTCGACGGTACAGTGAATTAGAAGCATTTTCGATGGACGATTGATGGTCCAGACTCGTCGTACTCTTGCTTAGATATCCACATTTGCTGGAAGGTGGACAACGATGCGAGGATCGATCCTCCGATCCAAACGGAATACTTGCGTTCGGGCGGAGCAATGATCTTTATTTTCATGGTACTGAAATGAGACGGAATAAAACCCTAAAACCGACTTCGAAATGTAGTGATGCAATAATGCAAAGAGATAAAGTATTGTGTTACTTCAAATGTTAAAAAAATGAGTTTCTAAAAGAAGCCGTTCACCTCAGAACTTCAAGCTTATGAATCACACCAGAAATTTTGTCATTTAACACTGCTATTTGCATACTCTAAAGCCCAACAATGCAAGCTCAAAAATACGATTAGAACTATTTGAAATCTCATTTATGGAAAACGTTATACTTCTTTAGTAACCGGATGGCAGTTCTTAATGAAGAATCGTGGTAGCAACACCAGAATTTTCACTTCACTGTGCTTTTCCATGCTGGATAATTTATTTCTCCTATGGTGTCCGAGACAGCGACGTCAGGGGTTCCAGGGTTGACATCAAAGATGGTTTCACGTCTTGTGAAAGGCGCTTTCTGTCTTAACATTAAGCTTCCTTTAAGATTATAGGAGTTTCAATGATACGGTTAATCACAGTTGAGTTTTTGGATGTAAACGACGAATTCATTCCTAGTTGGGACGACTGTTGCTGAAGCTTGATCACCAGCTTACATCATAACCCGACACTTAGGAAAAATTACTCTCCATGATAAATCGGTGAACCACTGAAGGGAATATGTAAGTAAAAATTTCTGAATGATACTCGATTTCATAGCTGTGATGCAGTGCATAGTTTCCCAACAAATAGCACAATTATTGATAAACCCCTATTTTTTGAAAACGTCTAAAGGACAACTTCTAAAATCAGATCAATTACCGTCAAAACTATGCAGCATCCTGCCTTGCATGAATATGCTCCTTGCTTAATCGCTGTAGGCTAAAACTCCCACTCCCAAGAACAAGAAAAAACCGCAGACACACCTAGGAGCAAGAGCAGTAATTTCCTTCTGCATACGGTCAGCGATTCCAGGATACATAGTGGTTCCTCCGGAAAGGACCGTATTTGCATAAAGATCCTTGCGGATATCAATATCGCACTTCATGATGGAGTTGTATGATGTTTCGTGAATTCCGGCAGACTCCATACCCAAGAATGATGGCTAAAATTTGGAATCAGACGGTGCGTTCTGAATAAACAAAAGTCGTAAATGAAATTACATGTGAATAAATAATGCACCTGGAATAAAGCCTCAGGGCAACGGAAGCGCTCATTTCCTACGGTAATAACTTGCCCATCGGGAAGCTCATAGGATTTCTCAAGCGAAGATGAAGAGGCAGCCGTAGCCATTTCTTGCTCAAAGTCAAGCGCGACATAGCACAGCTTTTCCTACAAGATAGGCAATAATTACGAAAGGTCTCATACAGAGATATGGAGTTTACGGACCTTAATATCACGAACGATTTCGCGTTCAGCAGTTGTGGTAAACGAGTAACCACGTTCTGTTAAAATTTTCATAAGGTAGTCAGTTAGATCACGGCCAGCCAAATCCAAACGAAGAATTGCATGGGGAAGCGCATAACCCTTAATCGATACAGACTTTGAAATGAAAGTAGTGACACGGGAAAACAAGAGAGTAACTTCACAACAGAAACAGCGAAGCTCTAAAGTAAAGTTTAAATTCATTAAAAAGATGGCAACACACCTCATAAATGGGAACAGTGTGGGTGACACCATCACCGGAGTCTAGAACGACGCCGGTTGTACGACCGGACGCGTACAGCGAAAGAACAGCTTGGATGGCAACGTACATGGCAGGAGTGTTGAAAGTCTCAAACATAATCTGCGTCATTTTTTCTCTGTTGGCTTTCGGGTTAAGGGGAGCTTCGGTCAAAAGAACAGGATGCTCTTCAGGCGCAACACGGAGCTCGTTGTAAAACGTGTGGTGCCAGATCTTCTCCATATCATCCCAGTTGGTGACGATACCGTGTTCGATCGGGTACTTCAGCGTGAGAATACCTTAAATAACATCGAATTAGTTTTGAAACTCTCTTGAACATTCACGAGCCGTGTACCCCTTTTAGACTGAGCTTCGTCTCCTACGTAAGAGTCTTTTTGACCCATTCCAACCATGACACCCTGGTGACGAGGGCGACCAACGATGGAGGGGAAAACCGCTCGTGGTGCGTCGTCTCCGGCAAATCCGGCCTTGCACATTCCGGATCCATTGTCAACTACAAGAGCCGCTACTTCGTCGTCACACATTCTTTATACCTGAAAGGCGCATAAACGACATTGTAGTCCTGAATATTTGTACACAAACCTGGGAGTTATTCACGAAAACATTGGATAATGGAAACCTATCACTAAAGAACACAGAAAAATTCCCTAATGCTTACATAAGGAACGATTATACTAAAATAACATGATCAGTTGCAACCAACTTATATACTGCAGAAATGGTAAGAGAACTAAATGGAGAATCACGTTCTAAAACCCTTGTTTCTGATATGGAATTCTCTGATCGCCATTAAATGCGGCCAGTTTTAGGTACATAATCCATAATAGATGGTTCAAAAACCAAGAAAGTACCGACCGGAAATCTTTGATAAAAATAGATAATAGATGTAATGAGAGCAAAATAATAGCACTTAATTTTGAGAAACACAGAGACTGAGCAATACAGGTGAGCTATTGAGGAGTGAGTCAACCGCTTCATGGCACTCGCGTTCGTTTCGCTGATATGGCCGAGCGATTGAGTCGGCCAGCTCGCCCTCTGATGGCCCGACCAGATGGCCTCGTCAAATGGCATACATCGGTCAGAGTGATGTACTTGGACGACTGCTGCGTTAGTCCTAAGCCAAAGACACAGGGTTCGAAACGATTTCGATAGCGAAGTAACATCAGTGTGCGACCTCTTCTGTCCCTTTGCTCATGTGACAGATTTCGTCAAAAAACAGGAAGGTAAATTCAAAAGCATATTGAAAGCTAATTCTTATGGGCCTTAACACAGTCGTCGAAGCAGTTGACACCTGCATACCAACATTCTGGAGAATCTTCCTACGATGTTATCTCTGTATGGTAAGAACCAGATTATAGGAGGCCTAAGAATTTAAGAGTTGTCGAGCACGAGGCGAGACGGTGGGTAGGAGTGGAGCGCTCTGCGCGCAGCAAGCCAGACGGAATGTTTGATCTGAGGAGGCGCCACTGTGTATAGGCGGGGACCGAAGACTGAGTGCTTTCTTGGAATCAGCACTCTCAACACATGTACGAAACACAGACGTTCTCATGACGTTTTCCTTCTTTTTTCGTTGAACTAGCCCAACGCAATCAATATACCAACTGATCATCGACAGCTAGAATGAGACAGAGGATGAAATAGCTTTCCCACTGGCAAAGCATTTCCATAGATATTAACTTTCTTACTAAGATAGCACAAGTGCTGCAGCTATGGAATGTCTGGTTTGCACTTGGTTATTTCAAAACAGACAGTGAATAAAACTCCTCGAAACTGCCTCGTTTGCAAGATTAGGTAGGCTGAAAGAGCTTACTAAACTCCAGAACTGTTCACGATTGCTTCTATACGAGATTATAACTACTTCGATTCCATGTATGCTGAAGAGCCGACATTCATAAGAACACTGAACTTCGCGCATATACTTTCCAGTGGCGAACGTATTCGTATGATACCATAGCTGTTATCCCACGACCATCATCGCAGACTGTGAAAAAATTCTTGAACTCGTTGGATTCCAGGTTACTATGTCTCTTCAGGGTGAAGATTGCATCTTATATAGTATTTGAATTCATTAGAATTACGAAGGGCTCGTTTGGCGCAGTGGTTGGAGGTACCCTAAAACACACACGTGGAATCGATCCCCGCGCCCATGGCCGACCAAGCCCTCCATCCCTCTGGGGTCGTCAAATTGGGATCAATAGACACTAGAGAAGAAGACAAAATTTGACTATACGAAGAAGCAAATACAGGTATCGGATTTTCCTTCCACATAACATTTACCAACGTTTTCTTTTTCACAGTACCACTAACAGCTCTGCGGTCTGGGATGCCGCCTAATACTCAGCAACCACGGACATGCTGTATTTTGATAACACGCAATTTTTCGATAACTAGAGGATCTAAGTGGTTATGGAGATGAAGAGATTGTTGAAGAGGCTATGCTCAATCGTTCAATGGTGCATAAATGATATGAATGCTACTAGTTACCAGGTGCTTATAATTAATCATACAGACACCAGCACTTTAATGGATTTTGCAACCTATGGTACGTCTACGTCGGCGTTTTTCTTATCCGCACGACCTATATAGTACACAAGATTGATTGAAAGTGTTTAAAATAAAGTAATAGTTGATTGACATTCAAATTCCTGGCCAACAAACTTGTCCAGCAGAAGGTTTTTTGCAATATTTCGAGGGTTTTTTGCAAATATTTCGGATCATCGGCTCTGAGGAAGACGAAGACGTCGAAACGTTAGCCGAAAATAAATATATTTATCAACCTCGTGCAAGCTTATCAAGAAAGAATACATATTGGTTTTTTGCAAATTACTAGGCCTGGGGAATGGCATTTCTTGTCTCTATCCTCCTAATTTGATCTGCTTACCATTAGGCATCGAATGTATCGACATAATATGGCAAAAAAAGTTCTGGATACCACCGAAATGAAAAAAGACACGATATGATCAAATCACACATTATGGGTTAAGAGAACCACAAGTGAGGACAAGCTGATTACAAGTAATGGAAAAAACGCACTCACTATCACAAGGGAATAAAAAATGAAAAAAGAAGGCGTGTATCAACACACATAGAGTTAGTCATCGTGGACAATGGACTGCCTATCGAAGAATCATCTTCATACGTGTGCTTTGTAAGGATGACAAGCAGACAGAATGATATGAGAAAGAAACTCGTGAGGTAGTGGAGATCTAAAAGTCCACAGCAGGGTACCATAGAGGGAAAGAAGGGGGTCGGACGTTGGAGTAGGCTGAGCCGATGAACGAAGACTGAATGACGTCCTTAACATGGCAAAGAGTCGACAGTTGTGCGTTTTGGCGCGAAAATCGGAAAAATCCACCTTGATCACATGATCTGAAGATCATAGGGTGAAACAAATAATGGCGAAGGTTAAACAGTGGACAGGCTGAATAAAGTAAGCAAGTAACAGATGTGAAAAATGTGGAACAATCTTTGGGACGACGTTCCAGCACGTATTCTGACGAAGTACTGTTGAACAGGGAACAAAAGACACTCTTAAGGTGCTGGACTCACTTTTCTCTCCGACATGCATCACAACTACACAGTAACCCTCGCACAGTGCTACGGTAACCGGTACAAGAATTGGAAGTTACTTTTTTGAACAAATTAGAATGAGCGAAGAATGTTTGCTAGGCAAGCCTATTTTTCTTGGAATTGGTTTAACGCAGCGCAGTGAAGTTCAATTGATTCTGTGCTTACGGTTGATAACGAAATGAATCGAACAGGCAGAATTCTCAGTAATCGTTGCTTCCTGAGTTAGAGTTGGTCAACTAGTTCCGTTTGAGGAGAACAGCTTCACTGCACTAACATTCAAAGTCTTGGTCCAATCAGAGAATCGATATTGTCCTTAGCGGCATTTGTTATATCGTTGTTCCTGACCTAAGATCGTTGACTGATATAAGAATACTGCTGGCTCGCTTTTGGCATCGCCTTTATATACAATTTATATAGCACTAAACTTTTCTTAATAAAAATTATGAAAACTTAAACTCAGCGTGCTTAAACAGTACCATTCAAGGATGCTTTTCCATGCCCACTCTTCAACTACTCTGCAGACTTGACAATGAAAAGTGGCATCTAAATACTCACTAACAACTATATAAAGGAGACAACGACAAGTAGAATGGTTTGCTTTTTTACGGATTTGTGACTAGAAGGTCCATTCTCCCTGACTTGTCCGTTCTTCCTAGTAGAGATGAAATAAAAGGATAAAGAATGGAAATCTCGGGGTTGATCAATCCCTGAGGGATGCTCATTGCATTCGACTTCATTAAGCATCGTTAGAGATGATTGAATGCGCTGCATCGGGCCAGTGCTGCTATCCTCCCAGACGTGGTACCGATTTACCGACCCGTGAGGAATGAAGTACTATTTGAAAATTAGCGTGCGGAATTTTAAATTTCCAGCAACCGTTTCTCACTGACACTGAAATGTCAAATACCTCTGTTTTTACACTCGAATATCGTCTACAAAGACCTCAAAGTAGTGCATCGCTTTTTTTGAAAAATATACAGATAAGAAATCGTAGGAGTGTGGAAAGCCAACAGAACAGCGGAGCGATTCAATGAAATAGATGAGATATTTTAGTTATCTGCATGACTAATGCGGACAACGCGCTGATGACGATATATTCGCTAGAATTTTTGTGAAAGTTGGACTCCTAATGAGATCAGCATCTATTCATTAAGCTTAAGAACGCCGAGATTTCATTCTGCCTGGCAGTCCTTTATTTCTAGAGCTATCTTGAAACACCGGAAGCTGTGACACTGCTGTTTTTTCTGACCAAACAGTCAGAAAATGTAAATCAATGTTTCTGCTCTTCCAAGGCAAACTCACGCATCTAAACCCGCGATGGGAAGCACTTGTAATAACGATATGACCGACCTGCTCTAAACGTGCTCCAATGTAATTACTAGGGAAGGAAGCAGTTTCGTTTCTAAAACCGGATCTCATTTGGACAGTCAATATTTTCTCATATTCATTGGCTTGCAAGAGATCTTTTGCTGGCAAGTCCTAATTGCGGCTAACGTTTCGACGGTATCATCTTCTACATAGCCGCCGCACTTATTCGACCCGAGTGTCTACAGCCATTCATTCTTGCGCTCCAAGTCGTAGTCCTCGCGTCCGGTCGAATCTAGTAAAGAGGAACATCGTGCGTGTCGCTTTGTGTTAGCCCACGAATGCGAAAGAAGCAGTGGACTCTTAGCTTTTAAGTGTGCTTTAGGTCAAAAATTTAGAGAAGTCGGAAGAAGTGCTACCGAGAACAAGCTTTGAAAAATAAGCCACGTACTGTTAAAGGACTCGTAATACTAGACAAATCTAGAAATTTGGGTAATCTGGTGTGTAAATACAATGTCTTCATTAGTTCCTGTCGCGTGCAAGAGTAAGCAATCGAATTTCGCTTGCTTAGAACTCAACGACCACCGTATTTTCCTTCAGTGATCATCGAGAACGTCTCGCTGCATTCAGTCGGTGTTCTCTACTGTTT